CCCCCCATGAGTTACAAGAGTTGCGTATATTCAAGCCCCATTGGCTTGAATGGAGTGTGCACCACGGGTGCACACCCAATTCATGCCAATGGTGGTCGCCCTTCCGCGGATTTCCAAGTCTGCGCATTTCAAGTCTGCGCATTTCAAGTCCGCAGAGGGCCGGCTGTAGTTGTCCGTTGGAGAAGCGACTGTAGTTGTGCTAAAAAAACAACAATGTCTGAATAATCCGTATTTCACTAGATCCCAGCTCTGCATCAATTCACTGTGGAGGGATAGAGAGAATAAGCCTTCCAGTTTGGGCAGCTGGTTTGGGCTGTCATGAAAGGCAAACTGAGCAGCAATTCTGACGTTGTTATTTTTAGCATTACTATCCGAATAATCTTACGCATTCCAGTTTTGTTGTTACTATGGATCCACATCTATGCGCATCTCTGTGAGTTCACTTGCTCACATGTGCCAGCACTTTAAACACGGAGTCGACAATGCAAATGTATTTGAAGCATGTTCAAGGCATGCAAAGTTTTATCCTGGGTTTATTTGCATCAGTTATTCACACTGCCAACTATGCAAAAAATTAATCTGGGGGGGGCGGTATGGATTATCCCAGGTTGTGTTTTTTTGGCAGCCCACCACCCAACTGAATCAGGTGCATTCAGGATGCATGTGAACAATGAAGAATCAACCAGGATTGATCCTGAATTATTTTCACCATCTGAATAACCCTCAAGGCATGCAGAGTTTTATCCCAGTTCAACGTGCATCTATTTGCATTGGTTATTCACACAGCGAAGAATGCAAATCTTTTAGGAAACCTCAGAAAAAACTTGAGATCAATTATCCTGGGTTAAGTGGTCTTTTTGGCAGCCTCCCCAAAACTGAATCCGATGCATTCAAAATGCATGTGAACAGCAAAGATTCAACCCACATTCTAGTGAGATTATTTTTACCATCCGAATAACCCTTGGTATCTTATGTCCTTATTTTTCTTGTCTTTCTACGGTCAGGGATGGGAAAAGGAGCTAGGGGAATCTTCTAGCTTGTGGGCCAAAACAACTTATCTGGCTTTGGGGCTGTGCATCCTTACTTGGGAGAGTGTACACCAGTAATTGTGGTTTTGACTTGGACAGCAAATTATCCTGAGTCATCCCTATGCTCTGGTCTGCATTCATTCACAATGTAGTTTAACCTCTGAACAAGGACCAGACACACTGCATAAGGAAAAATTGTGATATGGGGTATAGTATGGTGTAATGGTTTGAGTGATGGGTTCTGACACTAGGAGACCAGGGTTTGAATCCCAGCTTGACCACGGAAACCTACTGGGTAACCTTGGGCAAGTCACACTCTCTCAGCCTCAGAGGATGGCAATGGCAAGCCCCTTCTGAAGAAACATGCCAAGAAAACCCCATGATTGGTTTGCCATAAATTGAAAACAACTTGAAGGCACACAACAACAGCAACAATGGGGTGTAGCCACACTGCACAAGCAGAGCACTTTGAAGCTGCAATAACTGCCATGGCCCCATATTATGGAATACTGGGATTTGTAGTTGAGTGAAGTACTTAGAATTCTCTGCCAGAGAGGTTTAATGTTGTAGTTAAGGAGAGTGGCCTAGAGAATTCTAAATCCTGCTTGAAACTAAAATCCCCAAGTTTCCATGGAATGGAGCCATGATATGTAAAGTGGGGTTAAATGGCTATAACTGTGTAATGTGGACACACTCTAGCTATTAAGAACAAAAGAAGAATCACGTGCACTCTTACTGTTATATACCTTGAAAATGTCTAAAATGAGAGCCAAGACAACATGAGGTCTTCCAGGACAACTTTGGCTCTTGTATGCAAGTCACTTCTGGGTAAGAACAGCTCACCTCAATTCGCTTCTGTGTACTCATGATGATTTCCCTACATTCATGCAATACACTTGTGTCTACACAAGGTGGGAAGCTGCAGTGCTTCATGGCTTCCCAACATGTATCTACTCAGACTACCGCAGAGGTTTAGCATCATCAGGGATTACCATTTCCATGCATTTTTTGAATCCAGTCCCTTCATAGTAGTGACCATGCTGCACAAGGGTTTGGGGAAATGTAGTCCAAAAAAGTAGAGTCCAGGGTAGCATAGTGGTTTGAGCACTGGGGATATGACTCTGGAGACCAGGGTTCGATTCCCAGCTCAGCCAAGAAACCCACTGGGTGACCTTGGGCAAGTCGCACACTCTCAGCCTCAGAGTATGGCAATTGCTAAACTTCTCTGAACAAATCTTGCCAAGAAAACCCCATGGCCTTAGGGTCACTGTAAGTCGGAAACGATTTGAAGGCACACAACAAGCACAACAACAAGTCCTCTGCCAGGGTAAAGCAATTTCATCATAAGTGGGAAGCATTTATTCAGAGGTTTAGCAATGGTGCCCTCAAGGATCAGACTTTCCATCTTGCCTTCCTGAAAAGAGGATTTGATTTTCTTTGCAATCTCCATTGTGAAAAATAGGGGGCAGTGTCACCTCAGGATTAGTATCCTGGCTCTTCACTCCAAATGTTCCAGTTTACACTGGAGTTTTTAAAAAGCACTTTATCCACAGGTGGACATAACTCCAGATCAGCTGGGCATGTTTCCAGAAATGTTCAAAAGCTTTGTACACCATCTTGAACTGTGGCTATGCCGAGGAATATCAGGATGAATCTCCCATTGTTGGTATTTGACACCATCATTCACCGAACAAACATCTGGCACGAGGTTGTGCTCTGAATTCAGTGGCTGCTTTGTGCCTTTCCAGCTCCCATGGCAGGTTTGGAAGCTGTTCAGCCAGGGTTTAGCAACAGCATGCTTTAGCTTGAGGCATTCACTAAAATACCATATTTCAACCACTCTAGTTCAGAGGGCATAGCTTACACCAAGCTAGATTACTGATCTGTCGCGAACAGTCCTTCCACAATGACTGGCAGTGGCTCTCCCAAGGTTCAGAAAAATATTATTTCCCATCCCTGTTTGGAGAAATGAGAGTCCTGGAGAGGAGATGCAAAGCATATGCTCTGACACTGAGCCACAGCCTTCTTCCGCATTTGCTTCCACTGCCTTTTTCGTAGTTAGGAAAACCTCCTTTAAGGTCTGAATGCATGTTGGAGAAATCTGGTCTGTAGTCAACCAAAGCAAGGATAGTTTGATCTGTATTTAGGGTTATCTCAGTGTCTTCTAGGACAAGAGTGGCATGTTTTGTAGTCTGTATGTAGCCTTTTAGACTTCTCACTATACCATCTTCCCTTTTGAAGAAACTAAGCATTCAGGTGAATCAGAGATTCAGGATTATTAAATGTCTGTTCATAGGAGGAAAATTCAGAGTAAAAGGATTCCTGGCCTATTTTCCATGTACACAGAACTTTCTGGAGAAAAGAAGGAAGCTTTTCTGCCGCTCCTGCCCCCTGCATTTGTTCCCTTGTCCAGGCTGCTGACCTGTGACTGCTTTGCAGTTTTACACTCTTCAATTTAAACCATTTTAGAGATTAGCATAGAATAAGCACAGCATCCCTGCCGGCTGCAGTTTGGCATTGGCCAGATTCACATAAACGGTATGAAAATTATATGCATTTAAAGTGTGCCATTAGCAGTGTGACTCTCCAGTTCATGGTGTGTTGTTTTCCATCTGGTCCTCTGCGCTGAACAAACAAACACACCCTACCCTTGCAAAAGTGGAAGGAGATTTGAAAAGGGCCAAAACATGAAAGGTTCTAGCTCAAAATGATCTCCGTTCCATTTGGGGATGAATTAAACAGATGTTATTCCTCTCCTTCCTAAAAATCAAATTTGTTCCCTCTACAAGCCCACGCTGTTCTGTCCCAGAGGAACCAAGTGCCCTGGTGCCTTCTGCCATTTTCCAATCCACTAGGCTGCTGAACCTAGTATATCCCCTCCTTGTATAACTCACTGGGTGCTTCTCACTTCTCTTCCAGAGAATCCAGAAATACTGCTTCCTGGGGCATAATAGTTATTCTGGTCTCATTCATGCGGAGCAGAGCGTATCCGAAAAAGCAATTAACAAAGTGTTTAAAAAGCAAGGAGACATGAATTTTGCCCGGCTGCAAGTGCCAATGGCAACCATCATAAGGGTGGGTTGGTGGGAGAAGAGCTAAATGAATCATGCTCTTCCCCATACACCGCCACAGAGACCCCCAAGGCCAGATGGGGATGAGCATTTTCCTGCTCATGGAGGGGCAATAAACTTAATAGATCTTCCTCCCCAGTTTCCACCTTCCACATCTAACACCTCCCAGGAAACATCATTGTAAGGGGGGAGCGGGGAGAGAAATAATATTTTAAATTGGGGAAGAATTCAGAGCTCTCAATTGACTTGTACTAATGCCTACATCTGAATCTATCAGGCAACGCAGCCAATTACTGGGCATGGTGGCTGGGGGAATCTGGGAGCTGTAGTCGAAAAAATTACTTTTACAAGCTCTAGATTTCAAAATCCTGAGATTGTCATTATACTCTGGGACAGAGTAAGGTTTGATGACAAACCCCCCCCCCCCCAAGAAGTGGTATCTGGAATGCAGGACCTCAAGGTCTTCATGACAGAACCTGGGTCTACTTTCAAGTCCATCTCAAACAGGTGAATATTACAGAGAAGCGCCTCTCGACATTTTCAAAATAATTTTCCTCTCACCAATCTCAACCTTTTGTCAAGGTAGAGCCTTCATGAAAACAGAGGTGCTGGGGATCAGGCAAGGCTACCTTTACAAAAGGAATAATTGAAGATACCTGGGTGGCTTATTAGGGGCAGCATAACACTCTGGTTGGTTTGGATTTTGTAGAGAAAGGGGAGAACCAACATGAGAATACCAGGTGGCATGTACATCAGAGACATTTGGGACGTGTTTCATATCACTTCCAGTTCCCTTTTCTGAAAACAAACATTTTCTGGCCTCCGTGTTGGTCCTGGATCATTGTTCTTTCAGCAGCTTTTGCCTGTGGACCTCATAGTTTCATTTGAATTTGAGTGATTGGGGGTCTCATGAAAAAATGGTGCATATTTTTTGCAATCTAATATGTCTTTCTGTTTCTTCGCTACCCTGCTACAAAGAACACACCATCCCTGCCACCTCCCTTTCTGCAGCAAGATGGAGAATGAAGAAAGGGAACAAGGGGAGGCTATTTAAATGTGTATGTGGAAGTTTCTCAGCTCATGTCTTGGTGTATATCAAAGGAGTACTGGTGGCCCTTGTTTATGAAAGCATGCACACACACTGGAACACTGATCTTCACAGGTACATGTATCTCACTTTACATATACACAATATATACTTGTCATTTGTGATCCTGAGTGTGCACAGAAATGTAAAAAGATGCTTTTATAACCCTATTATGTAATTTGTGTATCACAGGCCTGTGCATAATATTCAACCACATACAAATTATATCTGTATGCAAATGTCTGTGTATTAAAAGCATGCAGTATTCACAGGTAGGTCGTAGTTGCACCAAAGTTGCTTCTTCTTAGGGTTTCATTACATGGCTTTTTTGGTGTAAAAAAAGATGATATGGGCAATGGTGGAAGGAAGCAAAATTATGGCAGAGATCCTCATGAAATCCAGCATAATGTAAGGGTATACCAGTGTAACTCAATGAGATTAGGAGGAGGGATCCAAGACTCGTGAAAGGAAGGAAGGGCTGTTCTGGGTGTCTTCTGAGAGCACTAAGGACTACTGCATAACCCAGGGAGGGGAAAGGTTTTTGATGGAGCTCTGAACTCGCTGTTGTTGTTGTTGTTGTTGTTGTTGTTGTTGTTGTTGTTGTTGTTGTTGTATGCCTTCAAGTCATTTCTGATTTATGGTGATCCTAAGGCGACCCTATGATAGGGTTTTCTGGACAAGATTTGTTCAAATCCACTTGTGTAACTAGAAGGTTATAAGTCACCACCAGGATTTCAAGCAGAAAGTGCTGCAGAAAGCAAGAAATGTTTCTCCTCCTTTCTTAAAACTACACCTGAAAGTGACCCAAGGGAACCACTTGAGAGTAGACCAGTGAAAACAGGTCTTGTCCATCCAATTGCCATTGCTAGGGCCTCTGGAGGGAGAGAAGAACCTGTAGCATCTGTTAGACTTAATCCCCTCCCTCACTGCCATTCCCTTTTCCTTGGGTGTCCTCTTTTATTTAGATTGTAAGTCTGAGGGCAAGGACCAATTTGTAGTGATCTTAGCCATATCACACCCTCTCAGCCTCAAAGGATGGCAATGGCAAAAGCCCTCTGAAGAAACTTGCCAAGAAACCCCATGATTGGTTTGCTTAGGGTTGTCATAAATCGGAAATGATCTGAAGGCACACAACAACAGCAGCAGCAACAAAAAGATGTTCTGACAGCTTTTTTGTGGGTTTTTCGGTCTGTGTGGCCATGTTCTAGAAGAGTTTCTTTCAGACGTTTCGTTAGTATCTGTGGCTGTGTCATTTTTTCTTTTGTTTCACTGTTGCTGTTAGTCAAACATAATACAAAACCTATAAAACCTACTTCCCTAAACACAAAGTGGGATTATCTACATCCCCTGAGCAGCAAGCTCTTCCAAACTGTTTTCAGTTTTCTGGGGAAGAACTACCATTCCTCTCCAGTTTTAGATGCCCCACTCTCCTCATGAACCTTTGAAATTTGTCCTCCCTTCAGTTTTAAGCCATTAAATAATTGTTTTTGTTAGCTGCCCTAGAGTCGATCTCAACTCATGGAGATCCTGTGGATGAGACATCTCCAAGCCCCCCTGTCCTCCACTGCTTTGCTTAGGTCTTACAGATTAAGGCCTGAACCTCCCTGACTAAGTCCATCCATCTGGCATGTGGTCTACCTCTCTTTCTACTGCCCTCCACCTTTCCAATCATTAATGTCTTTTCTAGTGAGTCATGTCTTCTCATGATGCAACCAAAATACAAGTGCCTGAGTTGCATCATCTTGGCTTCCAGGAGGATGTCTGGTTTGATCCATTCAATGGGTAGAGGTGATACGATAGCCCTGTTTAAATATTTGAAGGGATGTCATATTGAGGATGGAACAAGCTTGTTTTCTGCTGCTCCAGAGAACAGGACCCAGAGCAATGGATGCAAGCTACAGGAAAAGAGTTTCCACCTCAACATTAGGAAGAACTTCCTGACAGTGAGAGCTGTTAGACAGTGGAACACACTCCCTCGGAGAGTAGTGGAGTCTCC